AGTAAACGTCGCATTTTGAGATGAATCTCTTCCAGTTTCTGTGAGGTTCGCAGGCGCCAACATTGATGAAAGAAAGTCCGTGAAAAACATTAGTGTGGTTATTAATGAGCGTCTGTCGTGGCATGACCATTTCAGTTGCGTTGCATCGAAGAGAACTGGGGCGCTACCAGCACTCAATCACGAAGCTCATGGTTTCTCACCACTTATCATCGAACCAACCGTGACGTTCCTTGTATGGTATGCCCTGGGCTACTGTATAGCTATCTACTGCACATGCGGTGCAACTGAACTTGAACGTAGCCAATGATTGTGTTACACATTTTGGCATAGCTTTTGTCACACTGCGAGGCCCTTCTAGCTCCACTTTACGCTGCACATGTGAAGCTTTATTTGGCTATTGCGACATAGTGTGCGGCAGTCGCACTACTGTGATTGACTTGCCCGGACTTCAGATACTTTAAAATAGGATTGCGAGACTAGTGACAGGAGCAGATTTCAGAACGCCGACTGACAACCCCAGATATGACCTTGTGTGGAGCCCAATCAACACGAGGCGCGGCATGCACAAACTGGCACTGGATGTCAAACTCCGAGACACACATAGTCACACCGCCCCAATTATATAACATCTGTCGTCCCCGCCACACGAAAGCATGACAGGTACAAACTTGCGCCATACAAGCACCCGATCATAGTCATTTAACCTTTTCACTTCATTTCAACGCTCCTTCTTACCTGCCACAACTTGAATCATCTCTCCTTACATGTCCAGACAGTTACATCACTGCTAACGGGCTGAGGGTTGAAACTCCACCACAATATTGCTACTTACGCAAAATTTGGTAAACCTATTCACACCACACTTTGTTTGGGCGTGCCCTCCTTGAACGTTCTCAATATCAAATATAAAAAAGGACGATTCATCTTGTCTGTATGGGTTTTCTTCGAAAATGTCAACCCCTTTACCGTAACCGTCTGTTCTATGGTTTCGCCTGGCAGCTCCTTCCTGAAATCGTTTCAGAAACACCACAATGCGATTTTCCTTCACTCTGCTCACACGATAAACTCGACATACTACTTAGCGGAGCCGGCCTTGATGGCGGCGAGGGCTGTACGATGGCTCATGACTTACAAAATTACTTACTGACCTCAGGCCGATCTCCAAAAATATGGGGGTCACATGGGCACTCGGGGCTCTCGCTGAAGGAGCGAAACTTGAAGTAAGATTTCGACCACATCCCGCGATGGTGACCAGACGACATTTACGTTTAAACTACGCGTGCAGAGAGATGCCTTGTAACATACGAATTCGCTTTGGAGCCGCCTTGTAATACATCATCTAGTATGTGTATTGGTCATGGAAATAGCTTTATTGCCTGTGAAGTTATCACTTCTTTCGCTCGCGTCATTATCGGCCGACGAAATCACAGCCTCATATCTGATGCGAAGCGTGATCAGAGATCGCTGAATGTCCCTGTTCTAACCGTGTGCCGCATGTCATGGCCCTCGTGGCCACAGCTTGGACTCAGCCGGGCAGACAGCACATTGAGTCAGTTGGAGGGCGGTAACGATTACAGACACCGAACGAAGCATGCCAACCGATTACGACTACTGAGAACCAGAACGGGAGCCTGCAGAAATAAGCTTGTTTACGATGCAGTACACAACAATCAGTTCAGTGAAACACAACACAGTGAAACATTTAAATATCTTTCAACGTAGCTGTCAGAAAATAGCTGTTACACAGGCGGTATTGTAAACATGGCGGTCCTGTTTGTTTAAGTGAATGCGCGTTTGGCGTGCATGTTTTACAGCGTGTGTATTTATGATAATATATATATATATATATATATATATATATATATATATATATATATATATATGTATATATGTTTGTGTGTGTGTGTCCGTATATATGCGTATATATATATACATGTATATATATACATATATATATATATATATATATATATATATATATATATATATATATCACACCAGAAGGCGAAAATGTAGCTGAATATTCCGCTTTTTCATCATCTTCATTTGTATCGTTTGCGTGTTGCCATGTATAATCTGCTTTCCGTTATCCGATGAGCAAATTGTACGTGGGCTAAGGAACAACGATGAAAGGTACGGGGAAGGAGTGCAGAAAGATCGCATTATGGGAGAAAGGCATGAGGGCTCCGATCCAGCGTTTAGGACAATTTCACGCTGGGCCTACAATGCGTGTAAAGGAAAGAGCCAGTGTCTCTGAGCGCAGCAGTGCTGTGGGACTTCCTTGGCTCTGTGGAGGAACGACTGCAGTCTGTGCAGTGAGCTGACAGCACATCTCAGGCAGGCGGGGCTGGACCTCGGGACTGGCGGGCTCTGCGTCACGCAGGGGCCGTCCGGGCTGGATGGGAACGGCCACCACGGGCGCCGCCGCCACGCACCCCTGCTGTAATGGCTCGGCTCGGCTCGGCTCCCTCCCCTGATGAGCCGAGACGACCGCAGCGGCGCCACACAGGTAACCGGACGGCGGCTTCGCTCCGCCCCGCTTGCGACGCTGGCAGGCTCCAAGCCGGCATCCGCTGGCGCTGTAAGAGGCTCGCGAGAGTCCGAGCAGTTAACCCAATTGCCCTGTGGCTCCAGCGGATCTGGATTCGCACTGCGATTCCGTCTCGCTCCAGGGCCTCAGACAGGATTTGACAGGCAGTCCCGCATGTTCTTCCAAGCGAATGGTCGGCTCGGGCTGTCAGAAAAGTGGCACCATCGCACGTAGCCCGTATCGCCAGGCCAGGCCCGGTTACATTAGGTCAAGCTAGACGGAAATATCATTGATAGAGGGTTTTGCTCTCTGGTTCAATTGTTGGCCTTGCGGAGATTGCTGCCGACTTTATCGTCCAACATCTTGATGTTCCCTAGCGGTCCATCACCAAATTCTGAAACGAACCCAGACCAAAATTGATTGACGTGCTTACAACGCCTACGTTTGCGAGGTCGTGAGGCCTATGTTAAACATGCTGCATCACCAAGGTGTTTTCTGTTATTTGAGGGGTGTAGCGTCTAAGACCCCTATGATCGGGACTCCCGACTTAGTGGATAACATCGGCGACACAAAAAATCATTGCCAGTCGCCATGTTACTCTCGTAAAACGAGGCTTACAGGAAAATGTATTTCACCGCACAACGCAAGCAGGCCTTTTGGTAACGGCCACTTACCGCACCCTATCCGGCACCATATGTTTCACATTAATTCTGCCTCGGAAACAAAACAAAACAGCATTACTTTTAGCTGGTCCATCCCTCGTCAACGGATCGGTGACAAATTTGTGTAGTTTTAAAATCGCGCCATATTAAACTTGTCTTGTTTACTTGTGTATTTTTTGTTATCGCCAACAGAGCAGCACTTCATTAGCTTGTCAAGTCGATTAAAAAATTCAATTAATACACAGACACAGTAGTATGAACATAATGCAAGGATGACATACCTTGAAGCCAAGTGAAGATGCTACAGAGTTAAACATACTTGATCAATTGAAGATAAAAATGGCAAAGCTTTTATGAAAGATATTCGCGGTGCTGTGGCCAGCTAAAAAGTACCTCATCTATCAAATTATTGAGCATCTAAATTTTCATTTAAGCAGCATTTAACCAGGATACATATAAATATGTTCATATGTACATATATGCGTGTGCGTGTGCGTGTTCGTGTGCATAATGAATCCTCTCAGACTTCTGATGACAACAAACCCAAAATGTAAAACATAGCATCGATTTTGAAAACGAGGAAAACTAGCCTTAATCTAGTTTTTTTTCGATAGGCAGTATGTTGCTCGATGAACCCTGAAAACCACCTTCAAGTCAATGGATATACTGAATTAAAACATTCACCATAGCTCTGAAGCCTTATCAATCTCACGCGGTAAGTCTAGTGCATTATAAACATTCGCCTCCTCGATCTTCGATCTTGTCAGCGTGATGTGATTAGCACGTGTCTCCTTGCATCACCTAGAGTTATCACATCAAAGAAGAAGAACTTATTGCCCTGGAGTGCACGGTATTTTTCACACTAACCACCGGCTAACAAAATGCTTAGAATTCCTTCAACGCATCTATCTGTCGGGAACCACCATTAACTGCACTAGGGGCCTGAAATGATGATGGTTCGTGTCAAAGAAACTATCCGAAAAAGTCACAAACTTTCAAGACTTAATCTTAAGCGGCGCGGGAACTGCGGCCAGAAACCATCAGTGCTAAGCGAATGCCCTTCCAGCCTCATCAGCGCGGGTACAAGATTCCGAAATGTTGTCTACAAAGAGCGTGCTTTGCTCCAACTCCCCGGTGCCGGAGAATCCAGCACAACAACACATCGGCTCGCGGTTCGTCGACGCGCTCGGTCTTTCTGAGCAAATCTTGGAGTCGCGAATGAGATAAACTGCTTGAGCACAAACCGGAAGCGTGTGTCTGAGCTCTTCCCCCGGACACGCTAGCTGAGTAGATGAACAGTGGGTGGGCGGGATTGGTCGGTGGTGGGATCAGCCGGCAGGTGAGCAGATTCGGCTGGTAGGTGAGAAGTCGGCGCATCGTCAGTAGATGAGATCACCAACCAAGCGCGGTGCACGGTGAGCACACATTGACGGGGTCGTTCAGTGAGTGTACAGGGTCGTCGGGTCCTCGGCGGATCTGCCGATTGGTAAGCATGGTGCGCAGGGTCGGTCAAGGGGTGAGCAGTTCAACCGCTGAATGGGCAGGGTCAGACGGTGGGTGAGCAGTTCAGCCGGTGGGTGAGCAGAGTGCGCAGGTCGACCTGTGGATGGGCGGGATCAGCGGGTGGGTGAGCAGGTCAGCGGGTGGTGGGCACGGTGAGCAGGTCGGCCGGCGGGTGTGGTGGCGTCACCTGCGAGTGGCGGGGCGCCGCGCGCTGCCCCACTGCAGTGCCGCTGTGACAGATCAATACCGGCAGGGGCGGCGCGCTGCTGGCGGTGGCCAGTGTGCCGCCGCCGTCTGCAGGTCTCGGTGCGCCCGCTGCCCCCGCCGGCCACCCCAGCAGCCACCAGGTGGGTCGCGGGCCAGCCCTCCAGAGCTGGCCGCACGACAATGATTGACAGAGCGTGCTCTTCGCCCCGCGCGCACCTACTGATCGCCCGTCACCTTGAACCGGGTGCTGGTGCCGGCCCATTTACGACGGCGCTGGAGAACGTATAAAGAGCTGGGAGGGAATACTCCAAGAATGGAAATGCGAATCACTTTGTGCGTACACGGCATGCAATGCTATTAAGCCCTTGCCAAAACACTGTGGCACCTGGACACTATGATTGCAGTCAGGTCACATAACTATGACTAGGCGATATGACTCAAGATGCATGAAAAACACGCATAGCGTAGTAGGAAGAAGCGGCAGTGACCGTGGGGTCCCGTGTTCTGAGTGGGCTGCAGCCTGGTGTAATATACGTAATTGGCTCTGGCACATCGACAGACTGCTAATTATTTAATGGCCATTAATACCGTACAGTACCACAGCCAACGGAACTCAATCCATCTCTGTGTACCCAAGTTCGAAGTTACCCACACTGCCTCCGGAAGTCCTGTTAAGATTGCTGATGCATGTATCTCATCGCATAGATCATCAGCTCGTACGACATTCGTCATCTGCTATAGTTCATGCAACTGCACTCTGAGGTAAACACGATTGTGTAATTGCAGCCAGCTCGCAAAACGGCTGCTGTCCAAGTCGTCAACACTTGTGTGGTATACTCCAAAGAAACGGTTAGAAGCACTTCTGATTAGCTGAAGAAAATGCCTCATAAGGTGATGACGGGTTCGGTGACTGTGCTAGTGTTCGCTAAATCCTCGCAGGGTTAGCGTTCACGCCTCACGCCAGTGATGAGCTTAAATGCTCTAGCGTGTTGAAACCCGAATGCAAAACATCTTTAAACCTGGCTAACCCAAAACAGTTTTAACTGCAGTAAATAAGGATTTTTCGGTCCTTGCTAGGCAGATAGCCACCATCGGCAATAACTAACCAACGGTCTGGAAGTGTCTTTTTACGGCATTTGATGGGGTTTCTCCGGTCTACGAACCTTCGCCTCGCACGCAGGTGAAAACAAGCGCCATTCAGAACTGCTCAGACATTTGGGTGATGTCCCACGGAAAGCGTGGATAATTTCTGCATAGCCCATGGCGCCTTTGTCTATTAAGTGATTTGACACGCTTAAAAATGGTCCGTGACGAGTCAGGTCACGGAGCCTTGAGAACTTATGGCGTGCATGAGGACAATGGTGATAGTTATTCGTTTTTGCTTGTCCATATGTTTAGTAGACCACAACCGGATGCTGCTACGTATATAAACAAGTGCTTTCGTCACAAGGGCTTCACCTGATTTCAAACTGATTATCTTTTTCTACTAGCCGCCACTGATTCGACTTCGGAGCAGTAACGAGACCAGAGCATACGCTTCCGGGCGCAACTGGTGACCGGCCGGTGGCCGCACGGCTCATGCAGCGCAGCGGCACATTTACCGGCGCGCAAAATGGTGACACCGAATGTGGCTACACCACTGGGACGAGCCACACTCGGCCGCGGAAAACACCGCTAACCTCACAACACAGCCAAGGACATCCAACGCAGTTCACGCGTGTCAATAGGCGAGCGCGGGCCCTTGCAGGGAACGCTGTTGCATCCACCCGATAACGCGTGAGTCACTCGCTGCTTTCCTCCAATGCCGACTCCCCGCGCGCCCGGTGAGCTGTGGATGACAACAGCACCCGCTAATGCACGGCATTACGTGGCATCCACGCCACCGCCCATCTAGCGAGCGCACGTGGAAAGTGACCATCCGAGGCATGTAGGCACTGGCCATCTTATTATACATAGCATTTAATCGACCATCAACTACACGGTTGGCTAGGGGCACAAAGAAGCGCATCGCTGGAATATTGGCGTCGCGCGAGTGTTCTTCGTTGAGATAACTCACACAATCATTCGCTGAAAAATCATCCACGTCTTCTTGTTCTTCATCTGTCATGTATCACATTCTCATTCAGTCTCTATCTGTGATTCGCCCCACATATCAGAGCTGTTCATGGGCTGAATGCCCGGGTGCCGTCCAATCCAAACCACAGATTTGACATCCCTGCCAGCCAGCCGCTCTCCTTTTTTGACACAGTCCGTCCAGTCTGGCTTATGCATTCAGGCAAAACAATTCCCCTGTGCGATCTGTATGAGTTCATGACATCGCTACAGACATACGTAAAATGTAACGTAAAATGAGTATTTGTGCCAGCTAGGTTTTAGAACCGACCCATTGCTGATTTATGTTTTTTGCAGACTTTCCGATCCAATCCAGTCAAATACCTATATTGATCCCAAGACCACGTATGTATGCGATCCATCATCCCAGTCCAATTCATACATTCATCCCAAGACCTCGTATTTATCAGATCCATGATCTTTACGTGCTCATGTTATGTGTGGCTTGGAAACAAATACTATTTCACAGTAACTGGTGGCGAGGGTTATTATGCTGACGGGAATTCCTTGCCTTTTCATTTTATTTCCGACTGATCTCATCACATTGCCCCGCACTTATGGATCAGAGTGAACAAATGCTTCGTCAGTTCAAAGAAATAGCATTTCATGAGTATCATGATGAATTACATTAACTTTCTGATGGGAGCCGCAGACAGTTACTTCGAGTATGGCATATGAGGCAAACAAAGGGGCAAAGAATTAGACCCCATTAATGCACGGCAATTGTCAAATTTTCCAGAAATTTGTATTTTTCGGCTCTACATCATGTCTACAAAAGTATGCCTCGATGAGACACGAAACTTAGACTGGCGCGCTCCGTGTTTAATGCTGAGTACAACAGTATACATTCGTATAAGTTTTGAAGATACATTTATGATGTATGGTTCCGTTGCTATAACAATGCCGGCCCGTCGCGCACACTCCGCGCCATCGTCGGTTGTCGTCCTCCGCCCGCGCCGGCCGCACACCGCTGTGCGGTGTTCTTAAACAGCCGCCACTGATCGGAAACCGGTAAAGTTAGGAACGCGTCAAAACACGGGCAATGGTTACCCCAAATGCTACTAAAAACGTGGAAGCAATTGCAAAGCATACCAGAGAGGTATCCTAAAAAATCTTAGGCGGTTGGTTCGCCCCCCCCTTTCAGGGAGAGGGTTCACGTGAGTCACAGACAGAACAAGGAAGCCAGATTTAACATGTGCAGCTTGATGATTGTAAAATTCAGGTACATTCTCATTACTGCAACCTTTTTGGAAAAATTAACTGTGCCTTAACCTTCCGGTCAGACAATAAGCTTGTGTATATATACGGTCATATATATATATATATATATATATATATATATATATATATATATATATATATATGATAATTCAAAACAGTGGGCTGTGCCCAAAAATTGTCCACAAATTGTCTCCCAACACGGCAGTGCTGAAAAAAAAACATTCAGATTTCTTAAACATATTTTCCTTTTGCTGTAATACGCACAATTTCATCGAAATCGATATAGCGTGGAAGAATGCCCTAAATAGAACATTGAACAATGTGAACGCTCCAGTCTCCTTTCATGAAGGGCAGGCATTGATGCAAACATCCCATGCTCGTAGGCGCGTGGGCGCTTGTTCGACTTCTGTATGAAATAATTAACAAAGCGACGTACATGAATGACGCCACTTCAATAAAGTAGACTCCTTACCTGGATTCCAAGAGCAAAGCAATACTACACAAATAGTGGGTTCTCTTCACGAGAATGATGTATTTGATTGGCGTCATGCACAATAACAAAACCAAGGTTATGTGTCGACTAAAATAAAAAGGAGCGGAACGTCACATCATTCCATGACTTACGCCCTGTAAGATATAATAAGAAAAGCGGCCAGAAATTAATAACATAACTGATATCGCCAACGAACTATGCTCACAAATATCCTGTACGTTGCTTAATACCAAACCGTGTGACCTGCAGAGCAAAAAAGAAGCACGAAGTGACAGGCTCGCAAGATAAGAATGGAACAGCGCAAGCGCGTATGAAAAATGGCTTGCAGCAAAAAAATAAGCGCTTACCATATTGCATCAACACGCGCCCGGGTGGGGGTCCAATTGACGCACAGAATATTTTTCCAGAATGGCCTCCGAACAGTGTGGCGCAGCCGCGCCAAATTTTGCATAGCAGTAGAAAACTGAATAGCGGGTAGTTTGGTATTAAGAATTTAGATATACCTCTTAAGGTCGCTGACCTACGGTGGGTCAGTCTGAACATGGATTCTGCGAAGTGAATTTCTAGAAATTGCTCAATCTCGCGCAACAACAGAGCTCTAGACGAAGCCATAAATCTCTGAGACACTTCCTTAGGCAGCGTAACAATTAAATTAGCAAATTCTATTGGCTTGAGGTCAGTTTTGAAGGTCTGACTAAGGTCAGAGCCAGCCTGTTTTATTCTTCTAGGGTTTTCTGTATGGAGTAGTTTTTGGTGCTCATTTCGAATTGTTTTATAACAGGAACCGCATTATACATCTTCCATGCACGCACGAAAAGTCAACTTAGGTCACTGACCTAAAATGACCCAGGTCAACATTCCACTGTTGGGAACATACTGCCTAGCGTAATATTTATTGCTTATTCAAATGCAAAACTCAAAGCAGTCTTGTATGATTTCAGTGACCATGATCTTTGAAAGGCCAAATAAGGTCATTGGCCTTAAATGATCATGCGACCTTTTGCTCAGAACGGCATCTAGGTTCTTGGGCACTTTGGGGACCAACCTGCCAAGTGACCTTAGTTGACCCTATTTAACACGAAACTCGTGACCGAGGAACCTCAAACTTTGACCTGAATGAATTCAGGTACCGACCAATACGCTCTGTAAATTTAGTGCTTCTAGCTTTATTAGTTCCTGAGATATCACGGGGTCAAATTGAAATAGAACACCTTTTTGGCAATTCCAGTTCGACTGCATGCCACTTCTAACCTAAACCGATGGCACGAAACATCACGTTTTGAATGTGATCCACCCTCACTTTGCACACTTCCT